GTTCTGGTTTTGGTAGCCATGGTTTTTTCACACACCTTTCCTGGAGCACAACTACCCTGCTGAAAGTTGCATTAAGTTGTCTCTCATTGTGTTTGGAATTTGGTCAACTTTTGATCTATGGTTTTAAAAAATCACATCCCCTGTAGCAAAACTGCTGCAATGGTAATTGAGTCATGGAGACACTACCTCTGGGCTGTGTGTGTGGCTTCCTCATTCATGATGGTTATTCGTAATTATATGACAGTTCTGATTTTATCCTGAGTGTTTTAAACTAAAGAACCAAGGTCTCTCTGACCTTCTCCTGCACTGCGCTCTTTCCCCTCTTACTCCCTTGAAGGACAGGAAAAGGCTTTCTCTGACATTCCCTTATATGCCCAAAGATACATCCTCCAACAAGGGGCTCATTGTCCTGTACTCTCCCCTGACCCCAGCAATCTTATCAACTACGGACAATTAACTGTGTCACAGGAAGAGAGGCTGAAGGTGACACTACAGACTTTGTCTCTGGCTGACATCTATTATTTTGAGGCCCTCCATGCAACTGTATTACCTGAGAGGCTTTTTAACTGTGTAAGAAAACACATATTCACCATACATCCCTTCCCTCTCCCTGAGTTACACCCTGAGTTACCCACCATCCCTTCAGGAAGCAAGCCCTCCTTCCTTTCTATAGCTCCGGATGCTGTATATACTTCAGTCATCTAGCCTTCTTTGAGTCACACATTTTATGGGGCTCCAGTGCATACGCACATATTAAATTTATATGATTTCTCTACTGTTAATCTGACTGCTGTCAGTTTAATTCATAGATAAATTATAGAAACTTTAGAGGGTGGAGAGGATGTATTTCCTGCTTGATAGTTTATAAGAATCTGATTTCAGGATAGCAAATGGGAGCTTTAAAAATGTTTGTTGTAAATAAGGGTGTTGGATCTAGTTGGTTTGGGAGTTAACTGATATACAAGCAACAGAGCCTATGGGTATACGGTAGGTCTTGGTCATTCTCAGACAAGCCCTACAAAGGCCCAGGATTCCCTTAGAAGGCAGAGGCTCACCTAGAAGGACCAGTCATCTTGTTTGGGATGGAAGCCAGATCTATCCCATCAAGGTGAAAGATGGACTGGGCTTATCACAAAGTCTGGAGTATTGGGCAGTAGTTCTTGAATGCCTTCCATGGGCGAGGCCCCATAGGTGTGGGTACAATGGTCATAACAGTCCTAGGGGAGATGTTATTAACTCTCATTTTACAAGGGTGGAAGGCCAGCTTTAACAGTTAAAATAACTTTCTAGCACTCTATCTTGCTTCTCTGCAGGCGTATCTGACAAACCCAATATGGCTGAGATGGAGAAAGTTGAAATTGAAGACAGAAATGCAAGAGAAAAATCAGCTGCCTCCAAAAGAAACAAAGGGATGGAAGAAGGAAGCAGACAAGTGGAAATGAGGCCAGTAGGCCCTGTCCATTCTGCAAGCATTGCTTTCTTATTTTCCTTCTTTTCGCTGTTTGACTTTGTAAGATGCCAAGGGTAGATCAAGTTTAAACATCCATGTTCCCTTTTCACATCAAAGAACGGTGAACTACTGACAACCAAGGCTATGCCTGCCTCTCCCATCTGCCTGCCTGGCTGGCAGAGAAAGAAAATAACTCACATGCTGGTGAAGGAAGAAGCTGAGTAAGATGACAATGAAATTAGGGGGGAAATCCAAGCTGGTCCCCAGTGCCTTGTAGGGTGTAAAATGTGGATTAATCAGAATGCCATTTAAAAAATTCAAATGATCTTGATTATTGGAGTACACACATTTTAAATGCATAAATAAAATGTTTTTAAAATCTGGAAAACAAACATGCTGAAGGCCGTACAGTGATCTCTGAGTAGAGGACACTACACTTGCCTTCAAAGCTGTTCCCTGCTGATTTCCTTCTGCCAAAGGAAGTTTGAATTTGTTTGGTTTTTGATAAAGTCACACTGTTTTTGATGTTTCCCTGGGGGTGATTGTACAGCCTGTGGTGGGTGCCTCTGGGAAAGGTGGGGCTTCCACGGAAGGAAGTCTCTGGTCTCTGAAGTCTGGGCCATTTTGACTTGGGGAACTGGCACCTGGGGTACACAGTTGGGAAGGCAGTGGGCTCACACAAGCTGCACGATGACGCAGTGCTTCACTGCCCCTTTGCTCACTGCAGTCTGGGCCTGTGCTTTCTGCTCTGGGTGCTTGAATGCCTCAATGGCCCTCAGCCTCCCTCCCCCTTGATGACCAGCTCTGCTGTGACCTGCCTTGCTGGCTGCTGGAACTGCTTGGTGATTTCCTGCTCCTGCTGGGGCATTGTGGCCTCCCTGTTGAGTGTCGTCCTGTAGGGGGTGCTCCTATGTGCCCTTCCTTTCCACAAGGGCTCAGAGGCTGCCAACTCCTCAGAAATGCCCAACAGCCCCATCCTGGGGTAAATTTCCAAAGATGCTCCTCAGTTGAGCAAGGGGTGTCAGGAACAGGAGTGGGGACAAGAGGGGTTCGTGCTTTTTATGTCCCTTGACTTGGCCATAGGTGGGTGCCATTTTAAGCAGAACCAGATTTGCTGGCATAAGTGGTTTTAACGACTGGTAGACGTAGGCATGGAAGTGAAGTCCTCCCAGTATAAATTAAAGAAGCCATAATGGGGAAGCCCCAGAGCATTTTCTACACCCCTCCCAGCAGGACTTTCTCTTTCTCCTTGGTTCCACAGCCACTTCCAATCCCTGCCAATCTTTTGTTATCACAGAAGGTGCCATGATGATACCGAAGAACCACTTAGGAAGCAGTAGTTGCCCCCTCACACATGTACATTTTCTTCTTAGCCTTAAACTATCTCAAACAAACACATACTTATAATAAAATTGTGCCTTTTCTGCAAATAGTTGTTAAAATATAGATTCTGATTCAAGAGGTCTGGATTAGGGCACCAAGACCTGCGTTTCTAACAAGCATCCCAATGCTGCCAAAACTGCTCTTGGGAAACCACTTTGCTTATAGAAGCTCCAAGCAACCTCACCTCTGCCTCCCACCAGCCATCTAAGTCCTGCTGATGTTGTTCCAAAAATAGCAGGACTGTGAGATAGGGGTGGCAGAGTCTGAACTCTGTCACACACACACACACACACACACACTCACACACACACACACTCACACATGCAGTGCCTCAGGCACTCACAGTTGCAAGTCCAGACCCCCATGTTGTAATCTGAGCTCTGCTAGGAATGGCTGGGTCTTGCATCCCTCTCTGGGTCCTTGCCTCTCTTATCTTGGGACCGTAGTTTACCACTTGGGGGATGATGAGCTAAGAGTCAGCTGATTTGGGCAAAGCAGGATATAAATAGGGCCTTGTACATAAAAGTGCCTGGCATAGTTCTTGGCAAAGTGAGTGCTAGTCAGTTGAATTGGTTCATGCTTCTGGGAAGAACTAGACACCCAGCCTGTGTCAGGGTGCAGGGGGGAATCATGGCTCTGCCCTCCAGTGCTCTGTGTGCACAGGTTTTAGATTAAAGGATGCTAAGGCAGCCTAGGGAACTGGGTGGGGGCAGTTCTGATGAAGAAGTGAAACGTGGCGACTTAGTTCCCAGTTATATAAATAGGGGATGGGGAGTGTGGAGGGCACACCTGAGGTGACTCCTGATGAGTAGGTTTGCTAGGAGCTCCCCAAATATCTTCTGACCTCACAACACTGAGAATGCACGTTTCCTGGGGAACAGCACTGGGAGGGGCAAGGGTATGCAGTGTCAGTGCCCGATTCAGAGGCTCTGGGTGGTAGAGGTGTCTGGGATGGCTAATGAGGTGGGGGTGAGGGAGGCCAGAGATAACCTGCCTGGTGTCTTCAGGGCCTTAACCATTCTGGCTGTGAAATTGAGACATGCTGACAGAGTGCACAGAGGAGGGCAGTTGTGATAACAAGGAATTTCATCTTAAAAACATCAGATAAAGATAATGAGGGTAGTGATGACAATGCCCTAATTTTAGTGCCATAACAACATTTTGCAAGGGAATGGAACTGGTTATTCTCATTGGTGACATTTCCATTTGGAGGCTCAAGATTGTGTCTAGGTATTTAAATCCATTTTTAAAACCTATTGAAGAAACATACTACAGTATGCAGGTCACTGATATAATCATGTTGTCTTCTGTTTCCACTAAATTAGTGTTAAGACATCACAGGAAAGTTATAGAAATCCTATTTGAAAGCCAGTTTTCTTTTTAACCCGGAAATGAAAGGTGCCTTTTGTAGCCAAGGTGGGCCTTTCTCCCAATATTTATGGTTCCCAATATTGCTTGTGAAAATAGGTAGCATTTTACCCAACACCTGTCTGGGTTTCTGTGGGTTTTTTTGTAGGGAATGGGGAGGTTGTTTCCATTAAACAAGTTTACAGGCTGCTTTTCTTTCTTTTCCATGGACTTCGATGGACAAATAAAGTCTGATTCAAGAGAGAAACAAGGGACAAATCTCATGGTCACTCATTCAAAGTCTCAAAGCCCTTCTCTAGAGAACCAGGCTAGGTGCTTGTTTGGATCAGTTTGTTCTCAGGCCGACTTTTTCAGGGGCTCCTAAGTGATCAACTGTGACCAGAAACTTAATTTCGAAAGTTTATTTTTATTAGTACATGTTTGCAGTACACAGTGATTACATTCATGGTGGGGAGTTGATACGTGTACATAACACATTTTTTTTTTTTGGTACCGGGGATCAAACTCGGGTCCTTGCGCTTGCGCAGCAGGTGGTGAAACCACTGAGCTAAATCCCCGGCCCATACATAACACATCTTAATTCTTGGTTTTTAAGAAAGTTTCAAAGAGAAGATGGTAGGGTGTCTGAAGCCACAGGACAGTCAGCAGAGATGGTCTTCGGAGTCCCGGGAAGCGCTCCCTGGCCAGCAGGTGGCGCGCACGCCCTGTGGGCCCGGAGGTAAGAGTGGGCCCCACGCCGCCGGACGTGCGCGCGGCTGTAGGGGCGGGGACGCGCACGCCAGCGCTGAGGGCGCCACTTCCGGAAGGGGCGGGGACGGCGGCGGCAACACCTCCAATCTCTGCGGCGGCGGCGGCGGTGGCTAGAAGGGGAGCGGCGGTTCTGCGGCCAGCCGGTCTTTCGTGCGCAGAGGGAGACTGGGGAGCTGGTGCGGCTTGCTAGGAAGCGAGCCTGCGGGAAGGAGCGGGCCAGCTGGTTCCGGTCTGAGGAGGTGGAAGGGCTGCGGCGGGCTCGGTCTGAGGGCGAAGAGACCCGAGAGGAGGCGGGTCGGGGCGCCAGCGGCGCGAGGCCAGGGAGACGGGGTGGGTTGGAGACCCACGCGCTCGGCGCGTAGGAGAGTGCCTGGCTCCCTGGTCCCCGGACGGAGCGGGGGAGGATGCACCCTGAATCAGTGCCCGGGCGTTCAAGCCCGGCCTGGTCAGAGGTCCGAGGGACGTCGGGGCTCGGGGACGCTACCCGGGAACTCCAGGGCGTGTTCCCTACCTGTGTGTGGATCCCGGCTAGTCCGCCGTGGAAGGGAAACCAGTTGCAGCGGCATTGCGATGTTCTGGTTTGGAGTGGAGTGAGATACAGTTTCTGGGAGTGAAATCTGAGTCTTCCAAAGAGGGGAGCGCACCCCGGCTTGTTTGTTCTAGCGAATCTAAGCGGGCCGTCGGGACAGTTTTTAAAACCTTAGAAGTAAACAAAGCTGTTTTCCTTTTACAGACACTGAAAAAAGGGGGAACTGAGAGGACGTTGGAAGAGGAAGATGCCTAGTACGGACCTTCTGATGTTGGTGAGTCTTTCCCAGACGTCCAAAGGATCTCAATGTGACGATTTCATCTCTGATGCTCGCTTTTGATAGAGGAGCAATTCTGCCACCTTTTCTTGGGGTGGTGGTGGTGGTGGTGATGATCAGGAGGCGCACGTGCCTGAATTACATACACAGTATATAAAACTTAAAAATTTTTCAAGAATCGTTTTCAAAATTCTTGCAGGTGGTTTGTATTTCCTTCCCATACCACCAGAAGAGTTTTAAAAATTTAGTATTACATTTATCACGGCCTGGCATACATTAGTGTATAAGTACTTGTCTTCTAGAGGTATGATACCCAGTGAGGCAGATATTATGTCTTGTTTAGAAGTGAATAAATACCTACCATGGTCCTCTGACTGTAGTAAATGCTTGACAAAAGCTTGTTGAACTAATTTGATTTAAGTTCTTTTGTTTCTTGGTTTGGAGGCTGCTGTTTTCTTTCCTTCCAGTCTCTTTATGTGTTGTTTTTTTCATCGAGTAGAGAGAATAGTATTGCCAGGTACACAGTGACATTTTAGATTCTGTGCAGACTCTTAGTGTGAAAATTATGGGAAGCTCATAGCTTTTAAATAAAGATATAGAAGAAGTATTTAGGTTTAGTTTTTGTTTAGTAAGTCACTTCTCTGAGTCTTATAGCTCCTTGTGCAGTATCAGCGATTTAAGAACATTTTCTATCTTTCTTCATCTCAGTATGCCAGAGAGTTGGTTGTTGTTACAGAGAAGTTGGTAAATACTAGTAGTGTTCCTTTCTTATACCAGTGCTGACTTCCTATAGTGGCAAAACCTGTAAGGTCTTCAGGAAACATAAAGAAGGGGGAGAGTAAGTTGTGATTCCTTTTAGTTTGGGGTGTGGGTGGGGCAAGGACGACTTTAGGTTGTGTGTCAGGCAGAGGAAAACTTGCTTTATCAACATAGATTTGACGAGTTCACCTAGAATAGATTCTTTCCCCATATTTCACAGATTTCCAGTAGGTAATAATAGCCATGTATAATTTAAAATCTTTATTATTATTATTTTTGTCAGTAAACAAAAGGAAACAAATTTCCACTTTGATCCACCCAACCCCTTGCAATAATTCCATCACCCAGAGATAACCCCTATTAGCATCCTGGAGACTTAATGCAAAGTGGCTTAACTGGCAGTTTCTGGTTTTCCTCTTATAGATTTGTGTTTATGTAAATTATAGATCCTGTATTTGTTTCTCTACTAACATAGTTGTGCTTATTGCTTCTGGGGCCTATGGACTTACTTTAACAGTCTGAACATTGAGTGAACTATTCAACATAGTAACTTTGCAATCAGTTTTGGTTTGAAATATTTACCTCACTTTTACCATGCCTTTCATCTCACCTCGTAATCTAGAACGTTTAGGGGTATTGGTTTGCTTGTTGCTATAAAGTTTCAGTTAAAAAGGTATAGCTACGGATGCCCCTCAGCAGTCATCATTTTCTGAAGACAACATGCAGGTTGCATGAAGTTCTTTCACTGGAAAAGCTGTTGTCCCTTCCTTGAGAGTTATCTATTTATTTTTGCAGTGCTGGGTAATGAACTGAGGGCCTTGTGCATGCTTAATGTTTATTGAGTGTGTATTACATATTAGGTGCAGAAGTAGATACTGTGCATGCTCACTTAATTTTCACAAAAACCTTTTTGAAAAATATGCTGGCATTTTCCTTTAATAAATGAAAGGCTAGACTTAGATCAGCTACCACAGTAATGAAGTGGAACCAGGTCTTACCTCAGGTGATCGGACTTTAGATCCGCTTCTCCAACCCCTCTTATGACACTGCTCTGGACCGTGATCTGATAGGAGATTGAGCTTGCTGACCATTGTGCCTGACAGGAGACATTTGTGTATAATAGAGGAATTCCTCTGACCTCCAGGGGGCACTTTGAAAATGGGGGGTGGGGTGAGGAGAGGAAGTCTTGTCTGGTTGTGCAGTCTTGTCTGAAAATACATGGTTTATTATAAAATCTTGTTTGTTTTCCTTTAAAGGGCTTTAGAGTGAAATTTTAAAATTTGTCTATAGGTATAGTGTTATAATCTTTAAATTTCATTTCAAAATAGTAAAGGGGCATTAGAAAATACTTGTTATAAGAAGAGGGCATTGGGTCTGATAGGGCTAACAGCATGCTATGAGAGAAACTTCGAAGATCACCTGGAGTGCCTATATAATGAATTTTGAATCCAGACCAAGAAACTTAGCTTGGGCAGTGTGTTCCTAATCTCAATTTTGTACTCATTTGATTAGGGTGGTTTGCCTGGCTTTTTCCATTTGCTTGTATGTGACATGTTGCCACTGTGATACTTTCCACCTGTGTCTCAAGGAGCATAAAGGGAGTAAGTACGTTCGTTTGCTGAGAGCTGTGACGCTTTCAGAACAAATTCAAATCAGACAGTTGGGGAGCAGCCCTTCTCTACTTTGGCAAAAGTATTTCCATCCATATTCTTCTCAGTGGCAGGAGGTTTGATCACTTTGCAAATTGCCAAGTACTTGTCGTTTATTTAAATCCTAGTCAACTCCTCAAGTGGCTTTTCTGTTTCCTACCCAAGGATGCATGTTTGTTGCTATTAGTAGGTGAATCAAGGTTAGTGTGGGAGGCCCCATAGTGCTAGGTGGGGTTTGAGTGATCATTGTTTATCTAGGCCGGTGGTTTGCTACTGGGAGCAGTTTTGCTCCTCAGAGACATTGGGCAATCTCTGCAAACACTTTCAGTCAGCATACTTGAGGAGTGCTACTGGTTAGAGGTCAGGAATGCCACCAGACATCCTGCAATAGAGGTCAGGGCTGCAACCAGACATCCTGCAGTGTATACAGTCCCCTGCAACCCAGAATAATCTGGTTTACAATGTCAGTAGTACTGAGGTTGGGAAACCCTAGTCTGAGGTTCCTTAACATAGGTAAATGTGTGTCTCTGTAGTTTATGCTTTCCTGTGAGTGAGGAAATGAGTCTTTTCTTAGACCTTAACAGGTCTCTCAGACCAGTTACTTAGGGTCATTTTGCTCATGGGTCAAGCTCTACTGCTTTGGAGTGTGTATTGGATAGCATGCAGCATGATCTGCAGCAGAGCACAATTTTTAAGAGATGCTTTCCTTTTCAGTATTTCAATAGGACTCTTTTGAAGATAGCAAACCTTACTTAGTTTTGGTTTTTGCTTCAAAAATCAAATCTTTCCAGGTCTCTGAGCTTTACTTTGACCTACAAATCTTTTTCAGGAATGCTTGCTTTCTGATTACATGGGATTTAAGCAGTAAACTGAAATACTGATGTTGTTAAAAGCTCATTTCTATCATTTGGCACTGGTGTCTTATTTGTAGGATTAGCTGGAAGAAGGGGAAAGTGCATGGGAGATTGGCAAGAAGACATTTGAACTTTTGTAAATGGCCATTGTAGGATAAGCATTATATTTGGCATTGTTCCAATCTTATAAATGGAGCAGAACTGTAATTAATTAGTCTTTAGGGAAGTCGTAAGTAAAGTCCAAATCCCAAGATTTGGCTTAGCTTTTCAGCCTATGTGTCAGGAATTTTTAGTAACATTTACCTTCTTAGTTAGGTTTTGGCCAATCTAATATTACATACAATTTGTACACATAGGTGACAGAATTGAGAATCAGCCTGGGGTTAAGAATTTTCCACAGGGAATTGATTTGTAGTGAGTCAGTCTGTATGTGTAAACATACAGAACCCAATTACTGAGCAAAGAACCAGGGGATGGGGTGAGGGGAGATAGTAGTCATCTGGGAAGGTGGAAGAGGGAAGGCTGAAAGTAGTGTGTTGGATACATTAGTCATCTGGCACATTGTAGCAGTGTGATTGAGGATATCAAGGCTCCATTACCAAGGCTGGGCAAGGTGAAGAAAAACCAACAGGGGATGATGAAACATCTCGGATCCAGCAACTAGAGAGCCTTTATCACTAGTAGACCTTGGAGGGAAAGGGAGGGAGCAGTCTCTGGAAATTTGTGAGAGTTTACCTGAGGGGAGATAGCCTGTTTGGATTGTAGCCGTTATGACCAGTGGCCCAGCAGGAAGGGAATCAAATGCCTTTCCTACGCTCTTATTTCCTCCTGGAGCTTCCATTTGGTCTACCTCAGCTGGAAACCAGAGGATAAGGGAACCTCGTTGATTTAATTCACAGAGGGCAGGCACATGGAATTGGAAAGAGGACATGGAGGAGAAATGGGGAATACCTAGCATGCTAAAGGTGAGGTTGTTAGTTTCAAAAGGCACAAATGAGAAATTAGTGCTTGAGCAGAATCTTGGAAATGCATAAGATGGAATTGTTACAATCTCACTGGTCCTGACAGGAGGAGGGTAGATTCTGAGGCAAAGAGTTGCCATAGCTCTGGCAAGCCAGGGCCGCTTTGTCCCAGTAGTAGCCTTAGAATCTTAATTGCCTTCATGAAGCGCCTTGAGAAGCCCTGCAGTCCAGTTTTGCTGTGTAGGAATCCCTTCCACAATGCCTTGTCAGCAGTGAGTGCTGAGTTTTCTCAGGGAGTTCATTCTGCTTGGATGGCATTAGCAGGTTTTTCATTTTTTTAAATCACTGAATGTATCCGTCAGGATTAGATTTGACTGTCCTTGTATACAACAGAAAAAGCTAAAATAATAGAGGTTTTAAAAAGATAGAACTATATAAGAAAATGTGGAATAGGCAGTTCCTGGCTGACATGGCCAGCCAGGTCTTTGAGGTTCCGGTTGACTTCTGTCTCTGTGACTTCACTGCCAGCAAGTGTTCCTGGTCCAGGGTAGCTGCTTTGGGTTCAGGTTTCATTCATCTTGGAGAGGATGGGGAAGAAGGGCTTGCACTCCTTTTTAATTACAGATGCTCTTGCGTGAATTGTGTCATACATATTGAAGAGTGTATGAAACACACACCTAAAGAAAACCGTGCATCTACCACTTGGGTTAAGAATTAGAACATTTACGCCCAACTACCTATCACAAACATCTACCCCATCACAAAGACTTCCT